CCCAACCGGTAGGGGGGGTCTCTGAGATGACAGGAAACAACCCCAGCTGTGATCCATAACCTATACAAACATAAAGAGACACCCCTAAGCCTGGGGCACTTGCCGTTTCTGGGCCTGTCCACTCTCCCATCTTGCGAGGGTCCTGTCCTTGAGAAACTGCTTTGTGCCTACTTCCTTCCTTCTGGCCGTCTTTTTCGAGCATGGGTCCTCACGGAAACCTTTCGTGGGGAATCCAAGAACCGAGACCACCACAGCGCTAACCTCCCACTAGTAACAGAATGAGAGAAAATAACTTGCAAATCATGTATCAGACAAGGGGTTAATGACCAGAATATACAAAGAACTCCTACAACTAAGCAACAACAAAACCAAATTTAAACCTGCTCTTAAAATGGGCAAAGCTCTTGAATAGACATTTCGCCAAAGAAGACATACAAATGGCCAATAACCACATAAAAAGTAGCTCAACATCACCAGTCATCAGGGAGATGCAAATCAAAACTACAGTGAGATACTCCCTCACACCAATTAGAATGGCTATTATCAAAGAAGCCCAGAAAACAACAACTGCTGGAGAGGATGTGGAGAATTTGGAACCTTGTGCATTTTTGACAGGACGGTAAAATGGAAAACGGTACTGTGGAAAACACTATGGAAAACGGTATTGTGATTTTCCAAATATTGTACATAAAAATGCCATATGGTCTGGTAATTTCACTTCTGAGTATAAACCCTAAAGAAACGAAAGCAGGAACTGAAAGAGATATTTGTACACCCATCTTCGTAGAAGAGAGCCAAAATGTGGAAACAACCCAAATGCCATCAACGAATTAATGGATAAGCACAACAGAATATCATTCAGGCTGCTGACCATCCCGGGCAGCCTCTGTCCTCTGCCTGGGGGCTTTCCTGTGGTCACTTGCCTTTGCCCATGGGTGGTGCCAGGTAGGGAGTGGGGAGCTGCACAGGGACTCTTGACAGAGCAGAGTCCTTCGAGGCCTCAGGAAGGAGCACACAGGACAGAACAGGCACATGGTAGGAACCCATAAGTGTCTGTTGGAACAGGGGATAGAAGTCAGGCTCCTTATCCACCTCCGTAGCCAAAGCGGACTTCAGGTGTGGATTTCCTGTGTTGTCTGTGCGTCCCAATGTCGCCCCCTGGAGGTGATGTCAGGGGCTGCACCAGGGATGCCGACCAGGCTCCAAAGGAAGAGAGGGGCCCTAAGCCCTGGGCAGAGATGGGCTGAACTTCAGGCTGATGGGCTGGTCAGCCCTGATCCTGGTCTCTGTGGGTCCCAGGCTTCTTGACTCCATCCCAGTGCAGGGTAAGGCCCAGGAGAGGACAGTTGTTGCCCAGAAGATTCCTGACCCAACATCAGAACGGTCTACCCAGGGGGATGTGTTGCCTCTGGTGGTGCTCTCTGTTCCCAGACTTCCAAAGGAAGGACCAAGGAAGGGTCTCTTTTGGCTTTTGGGGGAGGGCACGTCAGAATGCCCTGCTCCCCCATCACAGCACTGAGGCCTGTTGCATTCAAGTTACAGCTGTCCGTCTCTTTGCTCTAGGCCTCCCCATCAGGCCCAGGAGCTGGAGCAGCTCCACCTGGAGACTCAACCAGGGAGTCTGGCCTCCATGGGACCCTCAGCCCCTCTGAGATGGAAGCAAATTCACATCCTGGGTTCTCCTGTCCCGTCCTGCACGGGAAGTTCCCCTCATTCCCCAGGATTCCTGGGGTGGTAAGATGTCTTCAGGGGACCATAGCCAGGTCCCCACAGACCAGAGACCCTAGGGATGAGGAGTTACCTCCTGACTTCCTTTAAGGTCAGAGTGGGGCTCTGACCTCCTGATGGTAACTCCACCTGGGGTCAAGATCTACTTTGTGCCAGGTCAGATCTCTGAGAGAAGAGGAAGGACACAGGCTGCCCACCCAGGATCCCCAGGGAAAGGAGAAGTGGCTCACAAGGTAGAGATGGAGTGGGGGATGTCATTCTGGGAATGAATGGGTATCTGATGCTCACTGTCAGGAGGCCTCTGTCCTCCCTCCTGAATCTAGAAGGGGGAAGGACCCGTCCCTGGGACAGCCTCGGGCACGTGCTGGCCCCCTCCCATGCTGATGCCAGCGGCCTGGGTCTGCAGGGAACGGACTTTGACCGCCGGTGTTACACATGGGTGACATGCTTCTATGGTGTGGTGGTCCTTATGGATTCCACATGTGTTTATTGAGCTTCTCTTGCTGGGTGCAGACAGGGACGCCTGGATATCTGACCTGGCTGCCGTCTCATCCTCCGAGACATTGTCACTGGAGCAGTGTCTGTTCAGAGTCCCCACTGGGCACAAGGAGAGCACCGCCCCATTTCTCATCAGGGGCTTTGTTGCAGATGGCCTGCACCCCGGTTCCGCGTGCTGCTCTCCTGGCTGGTACCTTGACACAGCTTGTCTTCTGTCTTCCCATTGCCTCAGCACAGTCTCCCTGGCCCAGGGATCCGGGCCCTCTCGGGTGCGTCCAACCTCATATAACCTTCTTCGTGTGGGACAGAAGGGCTCGGTTATAGGATCGGGGCCGCCTCCTGGAGAAGCGCCTCCACACCGAGGTGACCCCCACGTGCTGGGACTCGCGTGTCCCATCCTGCCGCATCTTGGCGGGTGGTCACGGGGTCTGGGCAGAACCGGTGCGGGCTGGGCCCTGGAGCTCCAGCCTGCTGCCCATAAGAGCTGAGTGTGGGTCGGTGCTTTCTGGAAGAGATTCGGTTTCCTGAACTTCTCAATCTATGTCGGTGGACGTGGCCTGTGTCCAGGGGATCGAGGCTCTGGTGATGGCCCGGGTTGAGCCACAAGGGAGCCCCCGGGGGCCCCACACCTGCCAATCAGCGACCCGCGCACTCGCAGGGATAACCCGTCCCTCGACCCCGCTGAATCCAGAGGTGGCTGGGTGCTTGGTGAGGGCACTGAAAAGGCCACTCCCTTAAGTGACGGAGCATCAGAGGCTCCTGTGGTTCAGAGACGGGCCCAGGGTTGGAGGGCAGGGTGCTGTCAGCCCACAGGTGCTGGGAACCAGACCAACACTGGCCAGTCCACGACTAAACTCCATTCTGTGGGGTGTAGATTCATACATAAGGAATGCTGCCAAGGTATATGATTCTGAAGCTAGACACTCCTGTGATATAATGTACTTTTTTTTTGAGAGGGAGTGAGCCTGGGACGTGAGGGGAAGTGGGAAGAGGCGGAGGGAGAGAGAGAATCTTAAGCAAACTCCATGCCCATCATGGAGGCCACTGGGGGCTCAATCTCACCCCTGAGATCATGACCTGAGTCAAAATCCAGAGTCCGCCCCTCACCCACAGGAGGCACCCAGGTGCCCCTAATGTTCTTCTTGTTATTTCTTCCAAATGATTGTATGACTTTGCAATCATTGCTAAGATGCCTCTCAAATGGTGAGAACATCAGAGAACACTGTCCAATGACATTGCAGATAGATTTGTGCTCATGTATGTTTTTGTATCCTAATGTCTACCGTTTTCCCTCAGCCGACTTGGCAGTATAACCCAGTGGGTATCCTTCTGATGTATGGTTACACTTTTTGCAAAACCAATCTTCCAGCTGGTGAGCCAAGGTAGCCATACATTAATCTCCCTTAAATATGCCTCCTTTGGAACCTGACCGTGCCCTTTGTCCAGGCTGAGCCCTACTGTCTCCCCTTCAGGGCCCTCTTTGCTCCTCCACCAGCAGGAACAATCCACTAGAGGGCACTCACGCTCCTCCCTGAACCCTTCTTGTCCCCCTTTCCCATCTCCTGAGACCAATGCAAGTGTTTTCATTGCCACAACCCCCAACCCTCAAATACTCTTAAGATTTGCTCAGAAGGAAGCTCTGGGGGGAAGAAATCAGGGTCCCCAGAGAAGAACCTCACAATGGAGGACATAGCAGAATGGACTGGGGACCTGGAACCAACCCCAGGTCCAAGGCATTGGAGAGGGGATGGTGCCAGGGACAGTGGGCAATGTAGGCTGGACACTCAGGGCCCAGATGCCCCAGACCCATGAGTGGGCCCTGGGGAAAATGACTGTGAGCCTGTGTCCCTAAAGGCCCTGTCACTTAGGATCTGTGCATGTGGGCCTTGGTGGGGCTTCTGTGGAACATTCCAGACTAGGCCTCCTGGGTATTTCAAGAACCTTCTTACCTGGGAGAATTGGTAGAGGGGTGTCATTCATTGACATGGCACAGGATCTCTCCGGGCCTGAGGGAGCAGGTGGTGTTCAGGCTTTACCCCCAACTCCAGATTAGGCCCCAAGACGTTAGGAGAGTTGAGGTCTTGCCTGGCCTGGCTCTGCAGGACACCACTGCTGGGCTGTCCATGGGGAACCCGACCTCCCCACCCCTTGACTGCAGTGCAGGAATGAGACCCCGAAGTCCTCTCAGACTTGGACAGTGAGGGAGCACAGGAGAGTTCGGGCAGGGGGGCTGAGGAGAGACCCTCATTTCTGGAGGGAGGAGTGGTTAGGTGACGGGCGCACACGTGGGACACAGCAGCGGCCACTGATTCACTAACTGAGAGGTTTTCCTCTGGAGACTTCAGCCTTTTCCCTGCAAACATTTGCTCACCCCCCCTCCCCGCCCAGCGCTGCTTGCTGAGGTGCCTCATTCCTGTTCACCAAGCCAATCCTACATCAGCTAGCTCTTTGTCCCCTTCACACCTGGGCAGCTCGCTGTGCCCAGCTGTCCCGACCTCCCGGGGCCTCAGAGCAGTCATTGCCCCTCTGTCCCCACCAGTCTGGAGGCCGCGGGACCAGGCTCTCTGTCCTGAGTATCAATCATCTGCCGGGAGGGGGCCGCTGCCGCACAAAGGAGAGGATGCAGGAACAATTGTCAGCTACTCTGCGAGCCCCCAAGTCCACCCATGGGAGAGGAACCAGGAAAATGACGGAACTGCCTGCTCATTTCAACTTGGATAGTGTTGCCCTGGGAAATCCATAGGGGAATACACGGGTATTTTCTTATTTTCTAGGCACAGGCTTTTGAGTTTGGAATGACGAGTTTTCCTTGGATGTCGCCGTCAACCTCAGTCCCACCCATCTGGGGCACAGACTGCAAATTCCACACCCTAGTGCAGGTTTGGTATTGGGGCCAAGACACTGGCAGCGCGGCCCAGGGGAGCCTCTCTGCACAGCTGCTGCAGAGATGTACTCTGTTCCTCCCAGGGTGTCAGCACCCAGCTCCACGGTCCCTGCCCCTCTCCCTGCAGGCCCCCACCCCTCAGGGACACCTGCCCCACGGGCATCGTGTGCTCCCTCCCTCACTGCTGCTGCCTGTCTGGAGCTGTCCAGGATCCTGTAGGTTCCCTGAGGTATAGGGGTGTGTGTGTGTGTGTGTGTGTGTGTGTATGTGTGTGTGATAAGCCCCTGCGCACATGCAAAATCTGAGGTTGAAGGAATTTGAGATTCATTCAATAAATACTTACTTTACATTCAAGGATTCGCAGTTAGGACTCCATATCAAGTAAGCGACAATTTGTGTTGTATTGAATCCCTTTTCTTAATCTTCCTGCCTGCCCAGTGCTAGAGTGACCCATCCACACCCTGTGCCCACCCCTTGCAGCTCCTCCCACTAAAAGGAGTGTGTTTATCTGAGACTTGGCCGAAGGAACATACACACCAGGGATCTCCATTTTCTTTCCTTTTTTAAAAAGATTTTATTTATTTGTCAGAGAGAGAGAGCAAAAGCAGGGGGAGTGGCAGGCAGAGGGAGAGGGAGAAGCAGGCTCCCCGCTGAGCAGGGAGCCTGATGTGGGACTCGATCCCAGGACCCTGGGATCATGACCTGAGCCGAAGGCAGACGCTTAACGACTGAGCCACCCAGGCATCCAAAGGAATCTCCAGTCTCAAAAAGCACCCTATGTCATTCTCAAGAACACCGAGAATCTGAGAATGTTTCCCAAAATATATATAATTGTATTACATATAATATAAAATATATATAAATATATATAAAATCTATAATCTGTATAATTCCACAGATTCCACCAGGAGGACAGATCATTGCCACATTGTAGTTTACAGGAGATTTGCAAGTCAGTCCTCCTTATCCTAATCTACAAAGCTAAAGCAAAGCAAACTAAGTGTCCCTCCATGGATGAATGGAAAAAGAAAATGTGGTATGTATGTAAAATGGAATGTTATTCACCTATGTTTTTTATTTTTTTAAAAGATTTGAGAGAGAGAGAGTACAAGCAGGGAGAGCGGCAGGCAGAGATAGAAACAGACTTCCCAATGAGCAGGGAGCCAGATGCGGGGCTCGATACCAGGACTCTGGGATCATGACTCCAGCCCAAAGCAGCCGCTTAACCGACTGAGCCACCCAGGTGCCCTGGAATTTTATTGAGCTCTTAAAAAGAAGGAGATTTGGGGGCACCTGGGTGGCTCAGTTGTTTAGGCGCCCGACTCTTGATTTTGGCTCAGGTTGTGATCTCGGGGTCTTGAAATGGAGCCCCGCATCGGGCTCTGTGCTCGGCTCAGAATGGGCTTGAAATTCTCTTTCTGTCTCTCCCTGTGTTCCTCCCCTTGCTCACACGCTCTCTCTAGATAGATAGATAAATAAATAAATAAATAAATAAATAAATAAATAAATAAATAAAATCTATTTTTTTTTTAAGAAGGAAATCTTGTGACACCATGGATAGACCTTCAGAGCAATATGCTAAATGAAATAAGTCAGAGAAAGACAAATACCATATGATCTCACTTATATGTGGATCACAAGAAGAAAATTAAAAAAACCAAGTTCACAGATACAGAGAAGAGACCGGTTGTTGCCAGAAGCAGAATGGGATGGGACTCCTAACAAAGGGTGAAGGTGTTCAACAGGTACGCACGTCCGGTTATAATATAAATAAGTCCTGGGGAATGGAACACACAGCATGGGGACTAGAGCTAACAACCCTGTATTGCATATTTGAAAGTTCCTAAGAGAGTAGATCTTAACAGTTCTTATCAAAAGAAAAATAAATTTTGTAACGTGTGTGGGAACAGATGTTAACTAGGCTTGCTGTGGTCACTTCTCAATATATACAAACGTCGAAGAGTTACGTTGTACCAGAAACTAATATAACGTTGTGGGTCGATTATATCACGATTAAAATAAGGAAACCAAAGTTCTCAAGTAATTATGGAATCAGTTATGTAGAGGTACCCAGAATCCTAGAGACAAAAAGATGACTTGTGGCTCTGAGCTCCCCTCAGAATATAGCAGAAAAGCATCCTAGTCGAAGCTACAATTCTCCATCCTCCCACACTGGGGACTTCAGACAAGCGTGTGTCACACGCTGGCACGGTGTCTAAAGAGCTACACGGGGGGTGCCTGGGTGGCTCAGTTGGTTAAGCGATGCTTTCCGCTCAGGTGGTGATCCTGGAGTCCCGGGATCGAGTCCCGCATCGGGCTCCTGGCTCAGCGGAAAGCCTGCTTCTGCCTCTGATCCTCCCCCCTCTCATGTGCTCTCTCTCTCTCTCAATCTCGCTCTCTCAAATAAATAAATAAATAAATAAACCTTAAAAAGAAAAAAAAGAGCCACACGGAAGGTTCATGACCCCACCACACAATTACAAGAAAGGGGATCTACCCCCAGGAATGAAAGGACAGGGACACCCACCCTCTCTACTCGCACCCACCTCCCCTCAAACCTGGAGCGGCCAGTGCGCCTGAAGCCTGGGGGCCCATCATGCAGGGCTTTGGAGGCCACATGAGGGACCCTGTGTCTCATTCGAAGTGCAGTCGGACGTGTGTGAAGAGACTGTTTATTCGTTGTTTGATCTCTTTTCTAGAAGCGACATGATCTATTTACATGGCGTTATTCTAGTGGTATCGCTCTGCTTGCGCGCAGAGAAGACCCCAGAGAGAGGAGACGGTGGAAGCTGTCATAGGCAGAAGTGACCCCCAAGGATGTCCACACCCTGCTCCCCAGCGCCTGTGAATACGTGACTGGACAAGGCAACGGGGAATTAAGGTTGTTACCAGGCTGGCCTTTAAATGGGGAGACGGCCTTGGGCGATCCCTGTGGCTCTGTGTCAGGCTTCGGACCTACAAAACTCTAGGATTAACACGTTGTGTTGTGTGAAGCCACCGCGGTTGTGGTCATTTGTTACGGCAACAGGAGGAACCTCACGCCCTGCAAGGCTGGTTGGACCCTGCCCGGTCCACGGAGGGAATGACAGTTTGGACTCGTGGTCACGGTGGAGGAGAAAGTGGTAGAGAAATAGGAGAAATGGCGGGGCAGGTGGGGGACCTGGAGAGGTGTGGGTGACAGATTCCCCGTGGGGCAGGGGGACCAAAGACTCAAGAGTGACTCTCATGATTCTTGCTGCGGCCCCCACGTGGCGGGAAAGACCTTCAAGAGAAGGAGATGTGTGCAGGCTGAGCCTGTGTGGAGACGGGAAGTGAATGCTGGAAGTATGTGTGCAGTTAAGGCGCTGAGAGGGGGCGCTGGGACGGGTTCGGCTTGATCCCAGCTCGTGCGAGAGGCCAGAGAGGAGAGGTGGGGCCGTCCATCCAGCAGGACACGATCCTCACGGTGTCCACCGGGGCCTGGAGGTCCTCAGACCCGGTGGGGGTGGATGTGGGTGGCGGTGGGACAGCTGACAGAGCACAGACGGCAGCGAGGTCCCTCCTCGAGCAGCATCTCTGGGTCCCACAGCCTGCCGGTGGCCAGCATGGCCCGGATGCTGCAGCTGAAGACTCAGAGCGTCACTGGCCGGGTCCCTATTCACCGCCCGCATCCTTTCTTCTTCCCTGTGTTCTGTGTTCAAGGGAAATGACTCCATGTCTGTACTTTACGGGCCGAGTAGAATGAAGGGGATCCAAACCACATTTTGTCCTCTCTTCCTTTCCTCATGGAGCTTGAAGAGACTACAAAAAAGAAAGAAAGAAAAGAAAGAAAGAAAGAAAGAAAGAAAGAAAGAAAGGAAGGAAGGAAGGAAGGAAGGAAGGAAGGAAGGAAGGAAGGAAGGAAGGAAGGAAGGAAAGGAAAGGAAAGGAAAGGAAAGGAAAGGAAGGAAGGAAGGAAGGAAGGAAGGAAGGAAGGAAGGAAGGAAGGAAGAAAGAAAGAAAGGAAGAAAGAAGAAAGAAAGAAAGAAAGAAAGAAAGAAAGAAAGAAAGAAAGAAAGAAAGAAAGAAAGAAAGAAAGAAAGAAAAGGAAGAAAAGAAAATACAAATCAAAATCCACCATCACCAAGGTACCGGCAGAAGCAAACACCCCTTCAGTCGAAAGACTCATCCCCCCTTCTCCCCTCAGACACCACATGTCCTCACAGGACCAGGAACAAGAGTGCGAACCACTGACATCTGTGTGGGGTGACATCAGGTGTCCCTGGTGACCAGCAAACCAGAAAAACTTGCTGGGCTCACATTTCCAACACAACAGACTTCCGGGGCACCTACCTGACTCTGTGAGTCCACATGTACGATGTGCTTTCAGATATATGGCTTGGGTCATACCCAGAGAGTCTCGAAGAATCATCTGGACGAAAGGGTCACGTTGGCAATGGACCATCAGCTGCCTGTTTTCCGACGATGACACTCAACTTGTCGCTTCTGAAACAAAGTTTAAAGGTTTGGATTTTCCTCTCAACTAATTCATCTGAACAGTGTAAGGGTGTATGAATTGTCCTGTTTCCCCCACCATGGGTGACTATGAGGAACATCCACTGTACTTCTTCACCCAGAACTCTCATTTTTGATCAAAATTATCGTTACTCCTGTAGTTTCTTACAGCCCCTGCTATCTTTGAAAGTATCCCCACTGATGGGTTTCTGATAGTCCAGCACTCAGAACTGCCAGGACAAAGTTTACAGACCACAGAATGTTGGAAAGGCATCCATCAAGCCCCACGTGTCCCCGCACACACTTGAAAAGTACATCAAGTGGGACACCTGGTGGCTCAGTCAGTTAAGTATCTGACTCTTGATTTAGGTTCAGGTCATGATCTCACGGTCATGGGATCCAGCCCCACATCAGGTTCCACGCACAGCGGGAAGTCTGCTTTGGATTCTCTCCCTCTCCATCTGCCCCTTCACACCCCACCTCACTAGCTTGCGTGAGCCCTCTCTCTAAAATAAACTAAAAAATAAAATAAAATAAAATAAAATAAAATAAAATCAGATAAAATATAATAAAATAAAAGGAAGAAAAGTACATCCAGAATGTAACCCACCCTGCTCTTTCTGAAGCTTCTGGCTTGTTCAACACAAAAGGGATAGTGGTTCCAGTTTGTGATCTGGGAAACGGAGTTAGTATTTTCGGGGAAAACACTGGGGGAAAAAATAACTCAAGAGCTTCCTTTTGGACATAAAATATTGAAATGCCTATTAGACAGCTAAGCCCTCTGGACACTTGTTCTGTGGGGTCCTTACTAGCCCTGCCACTAAAGATGGACTAATTTCTTTCAGTCTCCCCCACCTGTTATTTCCCCAGTCTTTTGGTTCATCCTAAATACCATCTCCTCACTTGTCTTAATATTTTCCAAATTCTTGAACCTTTACAAGCCCCTCAGGGATTCCCTTATAACCACATAGCCCCTGTTAATGCACTTTCTTCTAATCCTCATCAACCATATTATAATTACTCATTTTCAATGTTACCGAAAAAATTATTCTGACACTCGTTAAGGATGGTCAGGCACACTTTATTGAGGCAGACTACTACAGTGCGTTTGCAGTGGGGGACACAGATTGGACCCCACTCCAAATCAACAAGAAGAGTGCGGATTTATAGCCAAGAGACAGGGTGGGGCAGTCAGTGGATGGAAAGTTACCAGGAGGTAGAGTAATTCTTGCTAAGCTCACTAAGGGCTTTCACTGAAGACAGGCTGGAGAGATCACATACTACCTAGGGGATGCTGGGACGTGAAGAATTTGGTCAGATATCGAGGGTGGGGGATTCTGGCTCAGCTAATTAGTAGGTTTCTTCTCAAACTGGACCTGAAGCATATGGTCAGGCCTAGTCAAGGAGAAGGCTCAGAGAACCTGACTAAAGTCTGGCCAGGAGAGAATCTTTGCTGTAAGTTTCCCTCTACCCTGCACCATTCACCACTAAACCAAGGTGTTCACAGAGACAGAGAGAGAGAAACAGAGAAAGGATCAATTGAGGGGCACCTGGATGATACAGTTGGTAAAGCACCCGACTTTTGGTTTTGCCTCAGGTTGTGATCTCAGGGTTGTGAGATCGAGCCCTGTGTTGGGCTCCCCGCTCAACATGCAGTCTGCTGGAGGTTCTCTCTCCCTCTGTCCCTCCCTCCCTCCCTGTCTCTCTCTCATATAAATAAGTCTTTAAAAAAAGAGAAAGAAATCAATTGATATATTGATAAAAATCTTTAAGGACTTACTAGGGAGATATAAGAGAGATTGTAAACTTTATTGGAGATTACCACAAAAGCTAGGCCAATATATTTTCAATTATGGATTAATGAACAATTATCTAGATAAATGTAAATCACCAAAACTGACCTCAGAAAAAAATGGATAATATGAGCAGAGCAATAACCATTAAAGAAATTAAAATGAGAGCCACTAATTACCCTCTACCAAAAAAATAGTACCAGGCCCCCATTGTCTTTATGGATGAACTTTAACAAATCTTCAAATTAAAGATAATTCTCAACAAACTCCTCCAGAGAATAAAAAGTGGTAAAAGGAGATCACTTCCTAACTAGTTTATGAGACTAGAAAACCAGGCAAGAACATTACAGACCAATTTCACTTACCAATACAAATACAAAATCAAAGGAAACATTAGGAAACCAAATGCAGAATTAATCATGTCAAAAAAGCAAATAGACAGAAAAGTTATGAACAAGTAGGATTTCTATCAGGATTGCAAGTGTGTTTTTAAAAATAAGTGGGGGAGGGAGCACCTGGGCATCTCAGTTGGTTAAGCATCCGACGCTTGATTTCAGCTCAGACCGTGATCTCAGGGTCGTGAGATCGAGCCCCACTTTGGGCTCCAAACTGGGTGTGAAGCTTCCTTCAGATTCTCTCTCTTTCCCTCTGCCCCTTCCTGCCCCACTTGCACTCACTCTCTCTCTCTCTCTGAAAAGAAAAAAAAGGAATGCAAGTGTGTTTCAGTATCAGAAAGTAACTCTCCATGACAACAGACTAAAGGAGAAAAATACTTATCTCAATAGATTTAGTAAAATTATTTGATAAAATTCAACCCTAATTCTAAAAAAAAAAAAATCCTTTGACTCTGGGAGGACACTAGGAAAGGAACACATTCACATCCTCCTACAGCTGCCTGAAGAGTACAGTAATTCCTATATGTCACTGACGTAGTGCCTGGCACCCATTAGAGGCACTAAACAAATGTGCGCAACTCCCCAAGCACTTCTCTCTCACACATTCCATCTTTGCTCCCTGATTTATGGTTGATTTCCTCAGTTGTAGCTTCCAGGTCATCTGGTAGATTTTTCAGCAGCGACATTCCAGTTATTCAGCAATTACACTCAATTTTTTGTGTGTTTATTTGTTTTTTTAATTTCTGGGAAGTCTTTCTTCTTCTGCCGGCAGCCTTTCCATGGGAGTTCATCAGACATCTCCTTGAATCCCTGATGGTCAGAAGACGTTGAGAAGTTTCCTTCTGAACTAGTACACGATGTTTCTAGCAGTCATGGGTTCCATTTGTACATCGGGCGATTGCTCCCCGACCTCACTCCACTGGCTCTCCTCAGATGTGTGTGCACTGGCCACCAGTTTTCTCCTTCTTTGCCCTGTTTTCCTATTTCCTTATGGATTTTTCTCAAATGTGTTATATGCTTTGGTTGTAAAGTACATATTTACTAGGACTCGGTTGATTATCCTGGGCGTATGATAAAGGTTTGCTCTGTATTTGTATGAGTCCATACTGAAGCCTTTTCTTCTTAAATTGACAGCAAAAACTTTAAAACTTTTTCTTGTTTTCATATTGCATACTGGAGATATTAAAAATAATTGCTTATGGCATCTGTGGTGGCATGGAGAGCAAAAATAAAAAAACAAAAAACAAAAAAACCAAACACCTTACTATGTGTCTTCACTCAGCTTAAGGAAGAAGAGAATCAGCACCCCACAGCCCTGTGTGTTCCTGGCCAGCCCCACTCCCAACCCACCCCACCCCCAGCTGCATTATACAAGATATTCCTCTACCGTTATAGTTCTTTTTTAACCACACATAGCTACTCATGCATTTCTTTCTTTCTGAATCAGTCTGGTCCATTTTTGTAGGTAATCACTGAACAAATTATTCAGATTTTGCAATCAGAATGTTCATGATCTACTTCAAGGCCATCCTCCTTTTTCCCTTTTCCACTCCTAACGTTGCTTCTTGTGCCTTGTCTCATTTTTTCCAATCACATGGTCAGAAATTTATTTTGAAAGAGCCACCCCTCTAGATTTTTGTGTTTCTTGCTCATCTCTTATGTTCTTTCTCCTTTGAGTTTGTTCCTTTTCTTACTTCCACAAGTGGATAATTAGCTCATAAATAACCATTCTTTCATTCTTTTCTATGTTAAGCATCTTAGCATTTTAAATTTGCCCACAAGCTGGCCTCAGTTGCATCCTGTGTGTTCTACAGAAAGTTTTGTTTTGTTTTGGTTTGGTTTGGTTTAAAATAGGCTCCATGGCCAGTGTGGAGCCCAATGAGGGGCTGAACTCAAGAGATCAAGACCTCAGCTGGGATCAAGAGTCGCTTAACCAACTGAGCCACCCAGGCGCCCCTACAGAAAGTATTTTTACAGTTAATTATACATAATGTGAAATTGCCATTATCGTTCTTTGTTCAAGCACAAGTTTTTTAAAAGATGGTTTCCATGAAGATGGTGATTTTCACTTCATAGCACAGTGTTCACAGAGCATTCCATCTATGAATATTTACTGAAATTTGCTCTTTGGTCTAGTATGTGGCAAATATTCATAAAATTGCCATGTGTGCTTGAAAAAATGTATTGCAACATTTTATAGAGAGAGAGGCCAGCTTCTTGCACTGCTCCAATATTCTATATCCTTCCTGATTAGTTTGCTCTCTGATTACTGAGAGACATAGGCTCAAATCTACCAAAAGAGTAATGAGTAGCCATATGAACCAACAAATTGAGTTACTATTTTGGAACCTAGATCAATTGGTAGGAGAGATTTTTAAACATTCAGAGTCCATTTTAATCTTACCCCTACTCCTACAGAAAAGAGAAAGAGAGAACACATCCCCAGCTCTTACTGTGGGGCTAGAAATACCTTGACCCCCAAACCAGAAAAAATACAGAAATGAAAAGAATAGGCCAAAGTCAGCATTACAAACATCCTACAGGAATAGGAGACACAATGCTGCAGTGAATGAAAAAGATAATGTGCATGAAATGTAGGGTTTATTCCAGGAATATAGTTAGTTTAACAGTAGAAAATCAAAGCAATTCACAGCATTAATGGTTTAAGGAGGGAAGCCATGTGCTTTTTTTCGACAGATGCATTAAAAAAACAACCTCTACCTAAAATTCAGCCTCAGGATCAAATTGTCCCGGTGACTACTCTCCTCCCATACACAATCCCCGGGTCCTAGAGGAAAGGGAGCCCCACTGGCGGGTGGGACAACTGCAAGGTTCCTGTCCACACAGAGCTGACATTTACAGAATCCGCGCGGCACCAAGAGCCAAACGGTAAACTCGGGGCTCTCGCTGAGCCAGCAGGAGACACAAGCCTCGAGTCGTGAGCAGTGACACTGCGCTTCTGCGACCCCGCTGCAACGTCGGCGGGCTGCTGGGACACGTCCGACGAGCTGATTGGCCAGGAGCCCTCCCTGCGTGGGAGAACGTGATGACGCAGCATGACGCCTCACGGCAGAGACTATAAAAGGCCGGACCTCGGGGCTTGATCGTCTTTTCTGCGACCGGAGCGGACAAGTAAGTGTACGCGCTTTTGGGCTCTCACAATTCGATTATGTTCGGTATCAAACGTTGGATCGTGGAGTTAGTGGTGGAACTGGTAGCTACCTTTGTCCTGGATAGGATCAGATTTTATGTTCCTCCGTTATTCCAGACATTACTGGAGAACCAATGGAAGTTCACGGATTGTTTAAAAAAGATGTGCTGGCGTCTGTTGAAGAAGACCCTTATTTATGTCCTGAGCAATCTTGCTTCCCTCATACACAACCTGAAGGTCCGAGAAGTCTTCCTAAATATGCCATGTTATTCTCGACACAGGAGGAGGTTTGCTGAACCCACAGAGGTGGTTGTGCTTTAGCTACTCTTAAACACCTAAGCGATCGGGGTTCCTTGGGGGGATACTTAGCACCAGGAGGAGAGCAAATTACTTTACTAGCTGATCTACTGCCATGGGAGGCTTGTGTGTGTGCTCAGCTCTGTCCCTGAGCCTGGCGCCTTGTACCACACTCGCAAACAAGACTGGCTCACAACTGTGAATGGAAACACCGCAACTGAATCACTAATGTTAAGCACTCCTAACGTGGAGCCCAGAGGCCACTGTAGAAATTGGTCCTATGCACGTCCACGTCTGGACCCAGCCTGTGCCTACCACAAACCGCTACATTCTGCCATGGTTCTCAGCTGGAAGCTTATTTTGCTGAGCTCCACCTCGCAACTATCGTCTATGTATATAGTAAAGCCACTTTTTTATGCCGCACCCATCATCTTTGTTTTTTTTTAATATTTTATTGATTTCTTTATTTGACAGAGAGAGACACAGCGAGAGAGGGAACACCAGCAGGGGAGTAGGGGAGGGAGAAGCAGGCGTCCCGCGGAGCAGGGAGCCCGATTCGGGGCTCGATCCCAGGACCCTGGGAGCATGACCTGAGCTGAAGGCAGACGCTTAACGACTGATCTACCCAGGCGCCCCACCGATCATCTTTCTTTCAGAAGAACTTCCACAAGCCTGCGGGTTTACCTTCATCCACTGTATCTCCTCCCCCGCTCAGAGCACATTTACGGTTCCTCTTGAATCTGTGTCTCCCAGATTTCAAAAGAAGTTTTGTTTCGCTTTGCAGCCTCAGTTCTTTCTTTTTTGACACAAAGGAGCAAATAAACTTCTTACCAACAAATAGAGTGTCTGCAGCCTTATTTCCCCGCCCTAGGCTGACTTCTTTCTCCTGTGTGGCTCAGGCTCTGTGGCCAGGATCCGAGGGACAAACCAGGGTGGGTGAGAAAGAGAGCTCCATGCCATGGCGTAGGGTGGGCAGGGGAGGGAGGGGTCTGAAGCCTGGCTGAGATTTGCTGCGTGGTGGATGGGGGTGGGGTGGTTTCTCAGCCTATATTCTGGGGCTCAGCATCCCAGGGGTTTTAGAGATGTCTCCTCTCCCCGGGAGAAGTTCAAGGTGAGAGAAGTGCGAACCATGAACTGGTCGAAGGCGTCTTTACCAGTTGTGGGGCATGTATCCCAAATTTGGCCAGAGTAGAGCCGGCTGGGATGAGGACTGAGCTGGGGGAAGGAATAGGGTCCCCAAACTCAGGTTCCAGGGGACCCACATTGCGGTGTGGGCAGTGGTGAGACTCCTAAGGCTCACGAGAACGCCCCCCCCCCGCCCCCGGGTCAGGAGAGACCCGTGGAAGGGAAAGGGTGTGAGTGGGGAACTCGGAGGTCCTTGGGGTGACCAGGAAATGTGGAGCCTGCCTGTGTCGGGCTCCCTGTTCAGCGTGGAGTCTACTTCTCCCTCTCCCTCTGCGTCTTGCCCCACTCGTACTCTCTCTCACTCACATATAAATAAAATCTTGTTTAAAAAGTCCATACCCCCAAAGTGATATACACACGCAATCCACATTAAAATCCTAATGGCATTGTGGGCAGGAAGGCGAAAAAATTCATCCTTCAATTCATATGGTATCTCAACAGACCCCAAGGAGCCAGAACAATCTAGAAATAGTAGAAGTGGGCAGCTTGTACTTCCCGATTTCAAAACGTATTACTGAGCTACAGGAAACAAAAGAGTGAGGTCCTGGCATACACAGAGACACACGTAGACCAAATGAACAGAACAGAGAGCCCCTAAATTGCAGAGCCTTCCACACATGGCCAAATGATCTTCCCCAGGGTGCCAATCCCACTCGAATGAGAAGGGACAGTCTCTTCAATGAAAAGGCTTGGGAAGACAGGATATCCACATACAAAGAAGGAATCCGGACCCTTCCTTTCCACCATACACAAAAATTAACTGAAAATAGATAATGCGTCTCAACAGAGAACCTAAGACCGTGACGCTGAGAGAGGAAAAGCGGAGAAAAGCTTCATGACATTGGACTTGGCAATGATGTCGGGGACATGACACCAAAAACACAGGCAACAAAACCAACGAGAAAACCGGGGCCAGTTCAAGCTTACAGACTGTTGGCCCTCAGGAGAAACAATCAACTTGGGGAAAAGGGAACCTACACAATGGGGAAACGACTTGCGGTTCCTATGTCTGGTAAGGGATTCAAATCGAGAAGGTGTAAAGAAACTCTACAATTCACAACAACAAGGAAAACAAACTACCCAAGTAAACAATGGGCAAAAATCTTGAAGAGACATTTCTCCAAAGATATGCAACGGCCACCAAGCTTCTGAGAACAGGCTCAGCACCAGTAATCATTACAGAAAGCAAATCAAAGAACAAAGACATATCATGTCACACCCGTTAGGATGGCCACTATCAACAATAACCAAAAGAACCCAAAACCCAAAAACCGTAAAACAACTTGTGTTGGGGAGGATCTGGAGGCATTGGAACCCTGGCCCCATGTCGGTGAAAATGTAAAATGGCCCATCGGCCGTGGAACACGGTGCAGAGTGTTCTCCAAAGGAAGAAATAGACTTACCACGTGATGGAGCCGTCTCACTCCCGATGTTACATCACTTCCAAGAATTGGAAGCAACGTGACGAAGGACACTTGCACATCCCCGTTCGATGCAGTGTTCTTCTCCAGAGTCAAGCACCCACATGTCCCCACACACAGGAATGGAGAAAGAACCGGAGGCATCTACATAACAACGGAATGTTCTTCCATCTTAGAAAAGAAGGATATTCTGGCCCTTCTGCCAAATGAAATGAGCAAGTCACAGAAAGACAAATACCCTATGATTCTCCTTACACGTGGTATCTAAAGTAGTCAAATTTATAGAAACAGAAAGAACGATGGGATCCCGTGGGGGCAGGGAAGAGGAAACGCAGAGCTGTGGGTACAGATGTTCAGTCACAAAATGAACAGGTGCTAGAGATGCGTTGTATGGCAATGAGAATTTGCATACCCCTGCTGTCCCATACGCTGGTGTATGGCTAATGGTAGTAAATGTAATGTGATTGTTTTCAACCTACTATACTTTTGAACACATTTCTTTAAGAGAGAAAATTGGGGTGAAGAGTCTGGGGCCTTTGAAACCTTCTTGCCTTCAAAGAGGAAGTTCTGGGTGTGACAAATACAAAGTGTTAGTGGGTGAGTTTCAATTCCTCTTCTCAGTCGGGCCGTTTCACCCCAGATGGTTGCTTGTGGGGTCTCTGAGCCCCTCAAGAGCCCACAGTGGGGAAGTGGCTCAAAGCTCCAGTGATTATCGGGAGATATCAGGAGAAGGTCCGGGCAGGGATGGAAACAGGGGTAGAGGAGGTAGCAGTGTGGAAGGGGGACAGATGAAGGGATTCAAGAGAGCTGAGGAACCTAAGACGTGACATTAAAAAATAAAAAGAAAGTGGGGCGCCTGGGTGGCTCAGTTGTTATGTGTCTGCCTTCGGCTCAGGTCATGATCCCAGAGTCCTGGGATCGAGCCCCGCATCGGGCTCCCTGTTCAGCGTGAGGCCTGCTTCTCCCTCTCCCACTCCCCCTCCATGTGTTCCCTGTCTCATTGTCTCTCTCTGTCAAATAAATAAATAAATAAAATCTTAAAGATAAAAAAAATAAAAAGAAAAAAGGGGGTGCCTGGTTGACTCAGTCCACAGAGTAGGAGACTCTTGTCTCTAGGTGGTTATCTCAAGCTTACTTTAAAAAATAAAAATAGAAGTTCTTGGGTGGCTCAGTTGGTTAAGCGTCCAACTCTTGATCTCAGCTCAGGTATTTATCTCAGAGATTGTGTTCTAGCCCCGTGTTGGACTGCATGCTGGGCATGAAGCCTACTAAAAAGAATGTGTTTTAATTAATAATAAAATTTAAAATACTGGAAATCAAAAAAGGAAGAATGAGGACAGGGGATGGTGTGGAGGGAGACACCTTAGATGAGCAGGTTGGGAAGCTCCTGAGTCAGGTGCTCTGTGTGGCCATGGGAGTTCCCTTGTGTTTAAGAAAACCTTTGCCTTTTCTGAAGATACTAAATGGAATTAGCACCCTAAAGGGGAAGCTTCTAGCAGGCAGTGCAGAGGAGAGAGGAGGAGAGTCCCTCATGGCGTTAACAAACGGTGAGGGCAAAGAAGACACTTTGCAAAGGGCCCAAAACATGTGTCTTGGTGACATTCCTCCCACTCATGGGCTCCAGGATAGGCATGGAGGGAACCCCTCCGAGCGGGCAGAGCTGCAAAGTCACAGGAAAGGGACCAGAGCAAATGCTTCTTGGAATATCAGCCATCCTCACCCAAGAGAGCCAGCTGGTGCTCTGGGGCCTGTCCTCTTTCTGAGCTCAAGGGTACCGTTGGGGTTCACATTAACAGACGGGATTTCTTACCACAGGTTTTGACCCCCACGCAGCCCTGGGACGTGGTAGCCACGCTGGGCTCACCAGGCCTGGGCTTATTGAGCGGACCTTCCCTTTCTGTAGGAGTCTTTGCAGCTTGGGTCCACGAAGCCCCGGCCTCGCCCCTGCCGGTGGCCTGAGGGACCTTCCGTGCAGGGGCTGCCCTCCCGGGTCCACGTGGGCAGGGGTGAAGGCACGTGATGAACCTGAAGACCCAGGAAGGGCCTGGCTCAAGAGAGACCATGGAGGGGAGAGGGTGTGCGTGGAGCAACCACCCCGTGGGGCATCTCTCCTGGGGCCACCTGGAAATGTGCAGCCTGCCGTGTTCTGGCTCTTGCGCCTCATCACTCACAACAATGTATTTCATCAACAGCGCCTATTACAGCTGCAAGAAGTGCTGTCACTTTCAAACGAAACACAGGGACCCGGGCCTGATGGCGCTTTAGCTCCCTTGGATCCACTGCTCCAGTATTGTCGGCACTTGTCGGGTGGTTGTAACAGGAGGGCGCTGCATGCTCTCGAGGGTCAAAATCTGTACCACGGCGCTGCTTTGAGCACATCGAGTTCACACACAGTTTGTGACTCTGAGTAGTTTCACATTAAAGCCCCTGATGGTGGGAGACCTATGTCCTCAATGGGCAAGTTTGCAGAAGTGTTTGAAATAGCACACAGGGGCGCCTGGGTGGCTCAGTCAGCTACGTGTCTGCCTTTGGCTCAGGTCATGATCCCAGGTCCTGGAGTCGAGCCCCACATTGGGCCCCCTGTTCATCGGGGAGCCTGCTTCTCCCTCTCCTCGCCACTTGTGCTCTCTCTCACTATCTCTGTCGCCCAATCTCTGTCTCTCTCTCAAATAAATAAATAAAATCTTTTTCTTTGAGATTTTTCTTTATTTATTTGACAGAGACAGGGAGAGACACAGCGAGAGAGGGAACACAAGCAGGGGCAGTGGAGAGGGAGAAGCAGGCTTGCTGCTGAGCAGGGAGCCTGATGCAGGGCTCGATCCCAGAACCCTGGGATCAGAACCTGAGCCGAAGGCAGACGCTTAATGACTTAGCCACCCAGGCGCCCTAAATAAATAAAATCTTAAAAATAAATGAAATAGGGGCACCTGGGTGGCTCAGTCGGTTAAGCGACTGCCTTCGGCTCAGGTCGTGATCCTGGAGTCCCGGGATCGAGTCCCGCATCGGGCTCCCTGCTCGGCGGGGAGTCTGCTTCTCCCTCTGACTCTTCTCCCTCTCGTGTGCTTTCTCTCTCTCATTCAATAAATAAATTTAAAAATCTTTAAAAAAAATAAATGAAATGAAATAGCACATATACTCTAAGAGAGCTTAATGGATAAAGAAGGAAAACTGTATGGGAATAGCTCTGATGCCTAGAGAAGTGCCCTCCCTCAGACTTTCTCCCCCATCCTTCGGAGTGTTCACTTTTCTCCCCTTTTGGGATCCACACACTCTAAGGTCATCAGGCCCTCAGTCCCCATCCCATCCCTCCAATTCTTGAGTGGATCACTGAAGCAGAGTAGAGAGCCCAGAAATAAATCCACAGATACAGGGGCAATTAATTGAGAAGAAAGGAGCCAAGAATATACAGTGGAGAAAGGGCAGTCTCTCCAATAAATGGTGTAGGGAAAACTAGACAGTCATATACAAAAGATTGAAACTGGACCACTATCTTGCATCAAAGGCATTTGCTCAATTGGATTAAAGGCTTGAATGTAAGATCTGAAACCACAAAACTATCAGAAGAAAACACACACAGTTCCATGACATCAGACATGGCAATGATTTTTTGGATGTCACACGAAAAGTAAAGGCAAGAAAAGTAAAAATCAACAAGTGGGACGACATCAAACTGAAAAGCTTCTGCACAGCAAAGGAAACCATGACCAAAATGAAAAGGCAACCTACCCAATGGGAGAAAATTTTTAAATCATCTGTATTATAAAGGATTGATATCCAAAATATAGAAAGAAGGGCCCCTGGGGAGGGGGTGGCTAAGTCAGTTGAACATCTGACTCTTGATTTCGGCCGAGGGTCATGATCTCGGGGTCATGAGATTGAGCCCCGTGTTGGACTCCAGACTGAGCTTGGTGTCCACTTGGGATTCTCTCTCTCTCCCTCTCCCTCTGCCCCTCATCCCCAACTCATGTGTTCTCTCTCTCTCTCAAATAAATAAATAAATAAAGTAATGCAAAGAGAAAGAAAAAAGAAAGAGGGATACCCGAGTTGCTCAGTCAGTTAAATGTCTGATCAACTCAGGCCTTAATCTCAGGGTCGTGAGTTCAAGCCCCAGCTTGGGCTCCATGCTGGGAGGAAGCCTAATTAAAAATATATATAGAGAGAGAAAGAACGTTTACAACTGAACTGCAAAAACAGAAAACAAACCAAAAAGCCCAAATCATCTGATTCACAGAGGCAGATGAACTGAATAGACATTTTCTCAAAGGAGACATTTGGCTGGCCGTCAGGTACACGAAAAGGTGCTCAACATCCTTAGTCATCAGGAAATGCAAGTCAAAACCCCAGTAATATTGCTCCACACCTGCTAGAATGGCTATTATCAAAAAGACAAGAAAGAACAAGTGCTAGAGAGGACGGAGAGCACAAGGAACCCTTGTGCACTCTTGGTTGGAAAGGAAATTGGCCCAACTACTATAGAAAGCAATATGGAGAGTCCTCCAAAAATTATAAATAGAACTACCATCTGATCTAACAATTCCACTTCTGGGTGTATCCCCAAAAGAAATGAAATCACTGCTTTACAAATGTATCTGCATCCCCACGTTTATTGCAGCATTATTCACAAGGGCCAAGGCACGGAAACAACCCGAAAGTCCGTCAAGGGATAAATGGGTAAAGAAAAGGCGGGACCTTATACGGTGGAATATTATTCAGCCATAAAAAAGAAGGCACTCTTGCCATTTGCGACAACATGGATGGACCTTGAGGGCATTGTGCTAAGTGCAACCAGTCAGCCAGAGAAAGATACCGCAGGATCTCACTTATAGGTGGAATCTTTCAGAGAACCGTTGGCGGTTGCCTTGGCTGAGGGGCAAGGTGGTGAGGATGAGTAAAGGTGAGCAAATGATAAAATCTTCCAGCTAAGTAAGTCCTGGAGGTGGTACGCACAGCATGGTGACTACTGTTAACAATACTGCACTGCATGTTTGAAAGTTGCTAAGAGAAACAATTATGACTACGTGAGCTGATGGACATTAACTATCCTTACTGTGGTGATCATTTCACAATATGTACGTTGGTCAGATCCGTGCGCTGTACACCTGAACTACACCTCGACTAATACCATGTTAAATGTCAATTATATCTGTGGAAAAAAAGATATCAAAAGCAGTATTTGTGTCTTCTCAAGTCCTCAAACGGAAAACAAAATTGAGTGAAGGACATAGAGTGAGGGTGTCACGAGGAGGTCTTTCTCCTTTGTCTAAGACGGTCAGTGAAACCCTCCATGGGCAGGTGACATCTGAGTGAGACCTGAACAGACAGATGGGCAGTCCTGTAAGTCTCTGGACAAAGATTATTCCCAGGAGAGGGAATAGCTCGTGAGATGCCCGGGGCAGGAGCTTGCTTGAGTGTTGAGGAAGGGTCAGGAAGCCATGGCGGCCAGAGCACATGGGGTGAGCGGGACAGCAGAAGTAGGGGCAGGAACCAGCTGTGTAGGGGCAGTGCTGCTACTCAAGGGTTGTCTGCAAGGAGCCAAGGAGCTTGGGCCAGAAAGCAGATGGTCCACATCACTAAGCGCCCTGTTGATTTCCAGTGACATTTTCTTCATTGCAAGACTTTCTCTACCAAAGCTCTGAGTGCTGAACCCTTTGGCAGAAACTCCTCATGTTCTTGCCGACCAACACTCTGAGTAGCCCCAGTGTAGGGCCTGTGGGGAGGAGGTGGGGGAGGACTTTGGATCATGGTGTGATTGAGATGTGAGTAGACAGGAGGGTTTTGAGCAGAAGAAGACGACCTT